GAAACATGATATCCAAACATTCACTCAGACCAACAATTGTCATAGTGTAGAGGGATAATTTTTGGACCACATGGTGTCCCGATGTGAACTTCTAGTGCACTCTCATGTGTGATAGGCACATTTTCATTATTTCCAATTGGTTCTTCTTCAAGTTTCTCCTGAAATTAGTCTGGACTACTAGGTCCATTTTATTTTTTTGAAGAACAACTTATTCTTTATTTATTAAAAGTGAAAAAACAGCATGTAGTAAAATACAACGTTGCAAAGGGGAAAGTTGACTGTCTTACATCTTCCCTAATCTAGCACACAGCATAAGGAGGAACCTCCATTTATAAATACACCATTATCCTATCCTCCACATTATAACTTGGGCCATTTCAGAGTAAATGATGTCCACATTCAAGCGTATTATTGACAGACCCCACTGTGTTCAAGCTCTTGACCCGCCTATGGGCGGAAGTAGCCTGGAGAGGTACCGGAACATCTCCGCTGGTTTTGAATGAACCAACTTGTGTTAAGGCAATGAACAACACTCAGTGCTTTCATCCAAGTGCTGCATTTTCTTTCTCTTCCTTGGTCTATTATGGCAGAATTTTAAAAGACATTTTGTTCCATCATGTTTTTAGCAGACTGTTTTCTTTTTTTAAAATTTGTACAGAACAACTGAGCAACAGGCAGTGTGAACATTCTCTTTCAGATATACCTACAACTATTTTATTTCTGAAGACGAAAGTCATTTACTTTGCTGCCTAAATTGCAGCACAGTCCAGATCTAAAAAGTAGAAACTGCAGATGCAAATCAAAGTGCTCGCTACAGTGCAGTCACAGTGACAAATAATAAGTGCATTCATTTTACTCAGCCGTGCAGTTCCAAATGAAGGGCAGGGGAACCAGTCTGAAAGTATCAAAGCAACACATGCTTGTGGTCAAAAATCAAACACAAAGCGTTAATAATGTGGAAAAGGGAAGGGGTGTGGGGAAGTGTAGGCACTCTGTACATTCTACTCATTTTTCTAGAAACCTAAAGCAAGGACTTTTTTTAAAAAGTCATTTGTAATCCTACCACGTGGAAATAATTACTGCTAACATACAGCAGCGTGAACCTAAGTCATTTGTCTACTAGTCACTATGTACTTAGTGAGTATATGTCTGATTATGTAGCCCCTGCTTTTTTCCTTAGTGAATACTTTTCTTCCCAGAAACTGCTACATTTTCAGTCTAATTTTTGAATGGAATTCAACATGTACACTTTTACAAGATATATGTGTTATTATATACAGAGAGAGACAGACAGACAGACAGCCAAACAGAGAAAGGCAAATATATATAGAAAGAGTGAAAGAGACAGGCAGACAGAGATAGAGAGACAGAGAGACAGAGAGACAGAGAGACAGAGAGAGGCAGAGAGAGTTTGCCAGACATAATGTACACACAATTCAGCAGTTTGCCATACTAAGAAATACCTGGAAGCCAATGGCTACCACTTTGAGCACCTTCTGTAATTATAAAGGCCAAAGTTAACTTGTATTAATCTCAATAAATTTACTATTAAAATATTTATACAAGTCTTTATTTTCCTGATACATTCAGTTTTGGGTGGATATACACTATAATATGTGTCTTATGCATGTTATATACTTTTGCAGACCTTTATAATTTTGTATGCAGATAATTTTATACACATAAAACTTTTTATGAGAATAGTGAATCTTTAAAGAAATCCTACAAATATTTGTTTTTCACTTTCTTTTGCCTGCCTCTATTGCCCCTGCCTCCTCTCTGCCTTAGCAGTACATTAAATGTCTTTTCATAAGCTCAGTTTAACCCTTCATTTTCCTATGGCTGGAGCACAGCTCCCTGTGACATCAAATGTTTTTTCCCTAGGAAGTTGAGTGATGTGATTATGATTAGTGGCTCTGAGATGGACTTCGTAGGTTCAAGTCCAGCCTCAGCACCTGCTAACACCCTTAGTCTTCACTGGGGTACTAAATCTCTGTGCCTTCTGCACTCAGCGATAAAGTAACTATGTAATATTTCTTACCTCAAAGGATATTGCAGGAATACAACCAGCCAGAGCTGGGCACAACCCTGCATCTATAATCCCAGCTACTAGGAAGCTAAGGCATGAGGATAACAAATTTGAGCCCTACTAGGCAGTTTAGCGAGACCCTGTCTCAAAAAATAAAAAGGGCTGGGGATGTAGCAAGTAGTCAAGTGCTCTGGATGCTACCCCTAGCGCCCCCAGAAACAAACAAATGAACTGAAACTACTCATACGTGCAGTGTGTTTAGAATAGGGCTTAACATATGGCAAGAACTCCATTTGTATTAGCTTATAATTTTTAAAGCTAATGCAAGAATGATGCTTTTAGAAATTTTACACTTAAAGATCTATGCTTACTTGAAGTAACCAGCATATATGCTTCTATTGTATATATAAGTGAAACTGAAAAATAATGTTAACTGAAAAGTCTACTAATGAAGTCTTTCTTTGTCTTTTTGATACCCTTTCCTAGTTTCTCCCACATTTTGTTACAACAGAGAGCCCAGCCTTGATCCTGAGCCTAATTACTCTCTGTCAGATCAACTGTAAGACTGAATTCCAGAACCTAGGGCATGGTTGGGACACTGTTTTTATTTATTCATAATTCCAACCTATTGGCACTCACAAAAAGTCCAAGCTTGCTTAACAAAATCTACTCCAGTCATGAGGCATAGGAGGAACCAAAACTCAGGTATTGAAGGATTAAATCCTAAAGGGATTTAGGTATTTAAAATCCTATACATGGAACTGTCCTGAGTGACCTATTTGTAAGCAAAATTGGCCAGCACAGATTAGTAGTGTAGAACGGATGCTATTGTTTTTTTTTTTTGTTTTGTTTTTTGTTTTTCTCCGGTACCGGGAACCGAACTCACGACCTTGCGCTTGCCAGGCAGGCGCTTTTGCCGCTGAGCTAGATCCCCAGCCCCTAGAACGGATGCTATTGTGATTGAGCCTGTCTTGATTAACTCCAGCTAATATAAGAAAATACCACCGACTGGGTAGCCTTAACAACAGATACTTATTTCTCATAATCCTGGAGGCTGGAGAATTCAAGATCAGCAGTTTTAGTTGTCACTGAGGGGCCTCTTTATGACTTACAGACAGTTGAGGTCTCTCTGTATCGCTTAGCAATCCTTGCTTTCTCATGGAAAGATTTCTGCCTTGAGATTCCTATAAACACCAATCCCATCTTGGAAGCTCCTCTGACCTCACCTAAACCTCACTCCCCAAGTCTCCTCAATCATCATATTGCAGAAGAACACTTCAGTATATGAATTTGAAAGGACACAAACATTCAGCCTATGACAAACCCTAAGAAAGACCTCAAACTTTCCACAGTATTGTATACCACCAGTAATGCCATGGAGTTCATGAACTGAAGACTGTTCAGACCTGAGTGACACCTCAGTTAATTGCCCAAATTAATGAAAAGACATTCACTGAGTACTTGATTTGAATGGCCCATGGTACTTTGTGTATTTTTTATACTACAGTTAGGGTGATGTTCATGTTGAAGATTTTATATTTGGTAAGATCTTTCTCCACACACATATTTTGTACTCAGCTTCCCACACCAACACTCCCTTGGTTGTCCCCATTATTGGGGGTCCTTCTCGGCCTTTTTTACTCACTCTTGTTTACCTTCCTACCTTCTCGTGTGTCATTTAGAATGAATTTAATTTCATGACTTTCCCAAAGTTGAGGGTGAGGATCAGGAGACCTCCAGGCATACTAAAGCACCCCAAGTCTATAAGATTCCATGCTGAACAACCTCAAGGCCTTAAGGGCCCTGAGAGGAAGCTCAGTGGCCTGTCATTGGAGTAGAGAGTGGAAGCCAGCTCTGGAAACCAGAGGCAGCTGGGGAAACATGCCAAACTCTCTTGGCTCCTGCCTGCCAAGCCCCTTCCTGTATTCTCCTTGGCTGACCCAGCTGGAAGCCACAGGGAAAGAGACGCATTTGATGCTGCTCCCCTTAGCTGCCGGGCACAGAGCATGTTGGAGCTTGCCCCCTGGAAGGTTATGTCTGCTGCTATTCCAGCATTGTTTATAATCCCTGAAAGAAGTGGGGCTTACCTTTTTAAAAATAATCATGAAAAGTTTTCTGTATGAATGTGAGACTCAAGAAAACAGACTCCCAATTAAATGGCAGTAGACCTGTTTCAGATTCACAATGTCAGACTATTGAACTAAATAGTTGTTACCGTTCTACACAATGCTGTAGCTTTTCACAATTTAGTTGTGTCTTTTTATTATTTATTAAATTTTTCAACTATGTTAAAAATCAATTATTGAGACAGTATATAAATATAATTTGTGTACACATTATTATTAGCTTGCTAGAGTGTTCCTTCCAGCTGAAGAATAAATGTGCATTCTAAAGGAACTGCTACTCTAAAAGTGTTAAACATTGCATATTTTTAAGCATGAAATACTCACGAAGAACACTGTTTGAGTGAAAAGAATTCCCAGAAAAGCAAGACATTGCAAGATTGGAGTTTTCACCTAACTCAACCATTGAACATCTTCAACAAATAACTTCAGCTTGTGAACCTGAGAGCCCACCTGTAAAGAAGAAGTGGGCCAGGATGAGTTCTGAGGTCATTTTCACCTCTCAGATTATACTGCTGCCTGAAAAGGGGTCATCTCTGCCAGGAGAACCAAGTTAGATTTAGCAGAACTGGGTTCGCAGCATGTATCATTTGGGGAAAAAAGCAACAACTGGAAATAAAAGCCATCTTGGATTTTCTGTCTAGATTTAAAAATTCACATCTCGAGGCTGCACTCTTCATATTTACTGCTTTCCCCCTCTCCTCCCTTCTTCCCCTTATACTATGATACTGAAAGCATATAAAGGGGGAAAATCCATCCCTAGGGACATTTTAATTTGCATAGAATTGGTTCATAGCAAGGAAGCTGAGGCAGAAATCATTGCACCTGTGATTGTGTTTTCTCCTTAGAGTCAACTGTCTTCATTCCCCAGTCTGAATATTCCATCGAAGAGGATGTCGGGGAACTGTTTATTCCCATCAGAAGGAGTGGAGATGTCAGCCGGGAGCTCATGGTGATCTGTTCTACACAGCAAGGTAGCTTAATTTTTAAATAAATAATAAAATTTTAAAATAATACAAGGCAGTAAAACTGAAATAGAATCCAAAAGATAAAAGATAAGCCTTTTTAACATGTTGGGTCTGTGGCACTTTGCAATAAGAGGTGTAAGTTAATATGAAGTTTTTCAGGAGTGAAAAAAAAAGCATTTATTTAGAAGTTTGCTCCAGAATTGTCCCTTTGCAGGCTCCTCTGAGTGTGCTCAGAAAGAACACGCTACTACCTACTGCAAACATCCCTGACTTCATCGGTTACCTGCTGCGGTAGTCAAGGCTTTTCAGCTTACAAGGAACAGAAGCCTTTGTAGTAGGGGGTTGTTGTTGTTTAAAAAAAAGTCAAAGTGACATATACTCAACGAAAAGAAACTAATTGAAAATAAGTTGAAAACTCATTTGAACCAATTTCAAAATATTTATTTTGTTCATGGCTAAGCATGCTGTACAAGGTGATTTTTGTAATAACAGTTCAAATTAAACCATGTGATGTTCATTAATATACTAAATACTTTATTAAGAAACCAGTAAATTTTCTAAAAGTGCAAAAGACAAAAGCACAAATACTATTGATTTAAATCTCCAATTTTAATTTATATAGATAAAGATTAAAAACAAATTCCAGCCAAGGCTGCTTGGCTCAACTAATGAAAATCTCAGCAAATGTGTGAAACTCAATAAAGCAGTTACAAATATTAATGAGGCAGATGTGCAAAGTGCTTGGCTCTTGCCAGTGTATCGTAAGCATTTGAATAGTAGGTGCTATTACTTTGTGATACTGTGTTGATCTAGAAATCCATAGCCAGGAAAGCTGGGAGCAAATACTGGATACTGGGTTTTCATCTCTAATACTACAATAGTATTAACAGTGCCTGGCTTCAGGTGTAATAAAAATTCCAGGCTGTTTATGTATACAAATGACCATTGAATGCTGCGTATGAAATACTCTTGTAATATGCTCCAATTCTCTTCATTCCAGGAACAGCAACGGGAACAGTGCCAACCTCAGTGCTGTCTTACTCTGATTACATATCGAGGCCGGAGGACCACACCAGTGTGGTCCGCTTTGACAAAGACGAGCGTGAGCGAATGTGCCGGATAGTCGTGATTGATGACTCCTTGTACGAAGAGAAGGAAACGTTCCGTGTCCTTCTGAGCATGCCCATGGGTGGGAGACTAGGCTCGGAGTTCCCTGGGGCTCAGGTTACCATCCTTCCTGACAAAGATGATGGTAAGTACAAAGTTGCTGACAATTCTTTTTCTTACCAGGGAGAACATCGAAGATAATTTTCTAGACAGAAAAATGCAAACGTAAAAGAATTATACACATTTACATTATACTTAATTTTTTTATTTTAAAAATTTTTGAAAAGCTAACAAAACAACACAAAAACAACAAAAACGATACATGACCTCAAAACAAAATGATAGGAATTAGCAATGGTTGCTACATTACATACTGTTATCTTCAGCAAAGTTGCTCAGGCCACCAGAGGTAGGAATGTAACATTGATCAAACAATCAAAGACAGTAACAAGTAATAAGAAAAGCAACATTGGAAATGATGCAGAGCTTCACCATACAAGATGGTAGGAGTTCAACAGTGGTTTTTATACTGCATATTGTTGTTTTCAGATCAGTCATTCTGATTACCAGATTCAAGTGTGCAAAATTGGTCAAGAAAAAAGAAAATTTTAAGGATCTAAATCACAGAAATCAGAAACATACCTATTCCAGCTATCCTTATATATACATATAAATTTTATTTTTCTGTATTATTGTTCTCTGTGCTGTTTTGTTTATATATTTGTTTTTGTTATTTTGTTTTTTTAAATACACTTAATTTTAAAGTGTAAGACTGTATAGTATAATTAGCTGTCTCAATTCCTATTTCTTGATTTAATATTTTAAAGGGCAAAAGTCATGCCTCTGTATGTTTTCTTTTCTATATAGTTTCTTTCACAGTGTCACTTGCCATTAGGTAATTATGCAACGGCCAGCAGAAACACAGAAGTGACACCCAGGATTTGGAGGGTAACATCAGACAGGCACTGACGGGGAATCAGTTGTCCCTCAAAATGTCAGGCCCTGATCTCTGGTAGTCTAGGGCTTATATGGGACAAGCAATCAGGGAGTACAGAGGCACAATGGCTTTTCAATTGGGGATTGGTTTGTAGAATGTGCGTCATAGGGACCAGCTATGCATCACAGTGACTAGCCGTTTCTAAGAGACAGGAGCAACCAGAACTGCAACAGGAACTGTCACCTGGGCAACTGAAGTATACTGGCTTGGGGGGGCTCGTTTTCTGCTACATTTTCCCCCAATTTTAGTTTCTCTGGCAAATCTTTGCTGGGCATGTTATATGTGATCTTCTAAGACAAGGCCCAACTAGAAGCAGTAGCATTAGGGTCATCAGTGATCCTAGGATGGGCAGTAGCAAAGGTTCCCTGAGATTGTCTTACTACAGAGTTGCTCCCTATGTTGCTTTTAGGAAGAGACACAATTTAGGCCCCTCTGTTCAGTAACACTACTCTGGCAAGGAAGTGAGGGAGTTAACCTGATCTAGGAGAGTGTCCAATGTCAAACAGTCTGTTCCTTGACCCCAGAGATGAAAAGGGGTGGATGTACTATACCACACTTCCCTAGGGAAAAATACAATGACATAATATATTCTGAAAAAGGAAAAGCAGAAAAACCCTTAATCTTCCCAGTTAGAGAAACCGATTATACTTTCTTGTGAGAAAAGAGAGAACAAGAGAAAAGACTGTAAATAATCTTGTGATGAAAGCAAAGAGCAATAAAATGAGAGCTAGGACCCCTCAATGCTGACCTATTTTTTTCTCCCTTAACATTTTCCTCATGGTACATGAAAGAGGAAGGAACAGTCTTTCTGGTGGGAGGATAATCAAAAGACTTTAATCCCAAGTAACCTTAAAACTCAGGAAACTGAGCATACCAGGGATGATCAGAAGAATATGAGTGGTAAAGGCAGTCGTGTGTCTGGTGAGCTATGCCCTGTGCTTGTGCTTTCTTGTGCTCTATTCTCCTAATGATCCTGTGAAAGATACCATTATGCCCATTGGTCACTAGAAGTTTTTAAAACACTGATGATGAAATTAGAAATAACTTTATGAAGAGAAGATGGAAAAAAAAACTCTTGCATTTATCTTAATCTTACAAAATGCCCCATATGTATAAGCTACCCTAATATTTTAAATGTTTCCTTTGCAAATTTATTTAATAAAAAGTTCTAGTCTGTATATAAAGAAAATGCTAGAATTTTATTTTAAATTGAATTGACCTTAGAGAGAGAGCCAGTATCATGAATGTCAGCCAAAACAGATCTAAGAGTTCACCCTGCAGGCCTATCTACTATGTAGGTGTCTATCTCTTGATATATCTGCATTTCTATAGATACGAAGAGGTAGTTTTAATTTAAAAATAGAAAATTTAACTAACGCTTGCTTTAGTTCAGGTAGTTTTGACATAGGGGAAAGAAACTCTCAACCTGAAAGATATATGGGACGTTTGTGTTTTCTAAAATTGAAGAATGAATTTTAGCAACAATGGAGGTTAAGAGCAGAATATATTTATTGAGGGAAAGAAAGCTTCTGTCTGAGAGAGGGACAGAAGGGGGCCCAAGTGGATTGCCCAGGAATCTGTCTTTTTTTAGGGATTTTTGTAAAGCAAAACTATGCTGTGGGGCAGGTCCAAGATGGGAAACATTGGCACTCACTCGTTGGGCATGAGGTGGGGCAAAACTATAGTCAACCAGTAAGATTACTAGCATAATTGCTCAGGTAGAGGGCTGGGGATTTAGCTCAGTGGCACAGAGCCTGCCTGGCAAGCATGAGGTCGTGAGTTCGGTTCCCAGTACCAGAAAAAAAAAACAACAAAAGAAATTGCTCAGGTAAAATTCATTATATCAGGATCAAATACATACGAGTCACATAGTAAGCAGGCAAGCATACAGAACAAGGGCTTTTCCTGTAGGGGGTTAGTGAGTGACCCTCCTGATTTTCTCAAGGTGGCAGAGACCTACTTAGAATATCAATCCCTGATGTTTATCCCTAAGGAGGTATGTGGGTATATTTGTTTTATCCTTTGTCTTGAGGTCTGGCCCACAGCTGGGGGTGTCTGTCTCCCCCACAGCTGCAGGTAACTCATCTTCTACACTGGCTCCTTTCAAGGCCTGGCCCTGTGTGACTGCCTATAATATTTTTCATATTTTTATCTACTCAGTTACCTGCAACATGTTTGTTTGCAAAACTCTTTTACACATTGTTTTGGGATTCACACAGGGAAAAATAAAGGTACAGAAGGAAACCACGTCATATTTGTATCACTAAATCTTTGTAAGAATAAAGAGTGATCCCTTTATTCCTATTCACATGTGACAACACTCGCGAGATTAGCAAAGTTGAGTGAATGACTTGAATTCATAGTGCTACTAAACGGCAAAGTGGCATAAAGGTCCAAGTACATGACCTTTCCATGCTGTCACTCTGCCTTTAACACATCTCCCTAGTGGTGATGAGGTGGAGGAATCATTGGTTTTATTACCAGTGTCACTCTGAGCTGTACAGTGCCCTGCTGTAGACGGGGCACCTACCATTATGAATGGATGAACACAGCTCAGAATTTTCCACCCCACAGCACAGGCTGATGAATTTTGGTCCCTCAGATTTTGATTTTGAGGCTTCATAGGACCAAGCAAACACTGGGCCAGCAGTTTGTCAGCAGTGCTGTCAGCAATCATTACTTCTCTTCTTCCTTAATACCCCAAACCCCTACTCAACAGACCAGGAGTCCTCTGCATCCTTCTCTTTTCTTCAGATCATCTTTTCCCTTCTGCTTCAGCACCATGCATACGTTTTCTCTTTCAGATGTAGAGTGTAATGAGCTCTTGACAGTCAGTGTCTCAGCTTCATTGTGGCCAATTTAATCTTCCCTAAACTCATTCCACACCATGAACAACAGACAGGCATGTTTTACTTTCCCACATCAAGAGCCAACAGTGCACTAGGAGGAGCAAACAGTGCTCTTCTGATGGTAGAAGGTTAATAACCCTGTAAGGTAGTTTGTTTTTTAAGGAGCAATCAATCTTTTATTGTTTGACTGGAATTTTTTATTTTAAAGAAAATAGTACAAAGAACAATAGCAAAATATGAACAAAACAAAGCAAGGACATTAAAACTGATATGGGGTTTCAAACCAAATGATAGGGATTAACAGTGGTTGTTATATTACATATTGTAACCTTCAACGAAGTTGCTCAGATTACCAGATGTAAGTTCATTAAGAAGAGTATTTATTAATTATTCAACAAATATTCCAGTTATATTCATAAAAACTCAATGGCCAATCCATAGCAGGACTGGGGGAAGTACTTTCTGAGGACAAACCTGAGGCAGATTGAAAACTAAGAGCTCCTCAAAAATTAAGAAAAGTGCATCACTTCTAAGGAGGAAAGAGAGAAGGAAGGAATGGTACAGGAAAAAGAGACTAGTGACAAGCCCAGTAGAGCTCTACTGTAGATAAACAACTGCGGCAGCATCCTGATAACAACGTCAGTGATTATTCTCTTTCTTTCTAGTTCTATAAAATACCATTAGCAGAATAAACTCATTTTTCAGCTCAAGTGTTTCATTTTCAAATCTTCAGAAATTCAGCTATGAGATGACTTTAACCTACCAGAAGGAAGTATTCCTTGGACCTCAGAACGTGTGTTACAGCACGTAACACAACTTGACCCCACCACTTCATCTTCTCTACCTTGAGGTTAAATTTGCAGTTACCCAGCTTGGCATTAAGTTAGTAAGAAGATTATTTGGGGGTGGCTTATCTATTTTTCCCTATCCACTGTTGCCCCTGCATAGAATCCTTTCAGTAGAAGTATTTCAGAAACTATCCCACTGGCTAAATGATAATTGACAGCACTTTGGTGAAAAATGTACTCAGAGGCTCTTCTGAGAGTCACAAAAATCATTGTTGATTTATTCACCAAATGTTACCCCTTTACAAAATTAATAATATTGTTGTACAGTCTACATTTAGGGTTCAGTGATTCTTCATTCACTGATTACAGTTAGTTTTTCACCTGACAATTCTCAATGTCATGTTATGTTTTCTCTTATCTTACTGTGCCATATAAGGCCTTTATCTTACTGTGGCACGTAGCAAGTTGAATGGGAATCGTAGTGCAGCACCTTTGCCTTTTTTTTTTTTAC